ACGGGTACATCAATTCATCTCAACATGGTCTTACTGAGAAACAAAAAGAGGTGCTTAATCTTGGACTTAATTGCCATGTGTTGTCGAAATATGACAAAATTAAGAAGGAAGTAGAACTTGAAATTCTTTACCAGGATATCTTGAATTTGGAAAAAGAGAACAAGGTTACCGTGGACAAGGATCTAAAGAACAGCTTACTAGGAGAGAGCACGAAAGGCGTGGAAATGATATTAGCAAGATATTCACGTAAGAACTCAGGACGGCGGCAAAGGAACTGCGAGAAAAAGACATCATCATTGGGCGAGCGGAAAAATCATCACTCTACGTAATATTCGACGAAAAGGAATATCATGAGAAACTTAACTGCATCTTGAACGACGACAAGAAGTTCCGGCGCATCACAAAAGACCCAACAGACAAACTCAAGACCAAGCTTAACAAACTGATCACTGCTGCCATTGCCGCTGTTGATGGCATACACTTGTCCAAGATAACGGGTGAATTTGCGCCTGGCTATGCTTATGGATCTGTGAAAACTCACAAAAACGGCAACCCCCTTCGTCCAATAATCTCACAGATCCTTTCACCGACCTATAGAATTGCAAAACGTCTTAATGGTCTTCTGTCCCCATATCTTCCCATGTCTTACAGCTTGTCATCAATGGAGGAGTTTATGATATAGTGCGATCTCGTCAACCTGAGGGCCTACTAGCCTCTCTAGATGTTGAAAATCTATTTACAAACGTGGCCATTGAAAGAACCATATCCATCATCCTTGACCGCGTCTACAATCATCCTGAAATTCCTCCTCTTAAAACATCAAGGCGCCTTCTTGAACAATTACTAAAAGCCTGCACGTTGGAAGTACCTTTCGGCGGGCCTGATGGCCGAATGTATTGCCAAATTGAGGGTGTTGCGATGGGCTTACCTCTAGGACCTCTATTCGCTAATTTCTTTATGGGACACGTAGAAACCGACATACTACAAAATGACGACATAGGACCGGACATTTACTGCCGCTACGTAGACGATATCTTTGTAGAAGTTAGGGACATTGACCGACTAGGACATCTCAAAAACACGCTTGAAGGACGGTCTGGCTTAAAATTCACAACGGAGCTAAGTGTGCAAAAGGTAATACCCTTTCTTGACGTGGCTGTCGATAGACAAGGACAACAGTTCAAAACGACTGTATACTGAAAACAGACTAACAACGGACGGTGCTCAAATGCTGACAGTGAGTGTCCTCGACGCTACAAAATTAGCGTCATAAGGTCCTTTCTTAGACGAGCATTTAAGCACTGCTCTGATTGGAGAGGACTACATTTATAATTGACACGAATCAGACAAATCTTGGTGAACAACGGTTTTTCAAATTCTGACATTGAAAACGAGACACAACGACATATGACAAGACACTTTGACAGCAAACCAAGGCAAGGCATCTAACCAACCGTCAAACTGTACTATCAAAATCAAATGCCATCTGCTCACAATCAGGACAAAAAATCTTTACGGGAAACTATCTCTCAACATATTAAAGGCAAAAACGACCACAAAACAGACATTGCCATTTACTATTGTAGTAAGAAAATATGGCACTTTCTTATGAGAAACGGCCCAGACACACCCGATAAACTAAAATGCACCAATGTAGTGTATCAATTCCAATGCAACATCGAAGGCTGCAAACTTCGTCCCATACACTACATTGGTGTGACCACAACGACACTCTCACGGCGCCTGACAATGCACTTACGTGACGGGGCACCTCTGGACCACATGCGACAGGAACACGACATGACATTGACACGACAACAACTGACAGACAGCACTGACATTTTACGGACGTGCAGTGACAGAAGACGCCTTCAAATTTAGGAAAGCATATTCATTAACGAACTCTCTCCGGCCTTAAACAGGCAGACGAATTCTTGCAGAACTCTTGAACTACTAGGTGGTGGGCGGTGAGCACTTCCGATGTGATTGTGACAATATTGTTCCAATTGTGTCTTTGTGATGTTCCCATTATGAGTGTTTCTTACATGTATGAAGATGAAAACAGCAATCCGTCTTACTTCAATTAGTTATGCTTCATTTATGTTCTCCGTACCGAAAGATGTTTTCCAACAGTAGTACACAATTTTTCATCCTTTAAAACTCAAAACTTATTTCTTGTGCAATTTAGTCTTCTCCGAAGATGAGATAAGATCTCGAAACGTTAGAATGGAAGGAGTGATGAATATATGAGTAATTTTGCGCGAACCATCTTTAACCTAAGCGATGACGCGAAGTCAAAGGCCCGGAAACTAGCACGATGCATAAAAAAGCTCGTCAATGCTGAGCCAGCAGTAGTTTTTAATCAAACATGTATCAAGGAAAGGACTCTGCCCAAATATTCCTATATATATATATATATATATATATATATATATATATATATATATATGTGTGTGTGTGTGTGTGTGTGTGTGTTTGCGTGTGTGTGTGTGTGTGTTTGCGTGTGTGTGTGTGTGTGTGTGTGTGTGTGTGTGTTATGTGGGTGTGTGTATATACTTGTAATTGTATTTCCAAAATCAATCTCAAATACGAGACACTGTGGCCTAAACCGAGAGACACCGTGCCCTTGAAAACTAGGCAGAAGTGAGGTCATGCTGTTGAGACCAATGTTCAACTCAAAAACTGCAATTTTGCAAGAATTAAAAGGCAATTTAAATGATTTTAATGCCGTCGATGTAGTTGATTACATTCTCTTATCATGGTGCCGATATTCGCATTCTCCAATCAAGGCGCATGGTTAGCCGATATCCCAGCAATGCTGATTTTGGGCGAGCGCGCAAATATTGCATGAGCTGACGCACGACCGTCAAATCGCTTACAAAGTTGGTCATCGTTTACATGATGACAAGAGGCAAATCTCACGCCTGAAACCACCTCGTTCGTCTCACATCGTTGAGGGTCTTACTGGTCGGACTGGTTCCCACCTCGTTCGTCTCATATTGCCAAGGGCCTCTCTGGCAGGGCTGGTTCCGACCCTCGTTCATCTCACATCTCCGAGGCCTCACTGGCAGCACTGATCCCGACAACAAAGTTTTGTCGTGAAATCTATAGACAGTCGTGGATTTCGCTACTGACTTATCGGAGACATAATTTTCGCCGCGTCTTTACGCTGCAGAAACTGCAAAATGTTCGTCTCAACACTGGCCCGATAACAAATGGTTGCCAGGTGACACCTCAATTACGGCGACCTTTTCGTTCACAAAATTGCATTACAAGACAAAGAACAAGTGACAACGCTCTCGGTGTCTGTGATTTTTTTGTGGTTCAAAACGTCTTTTAAAACCAGAATCTTCCCCTCAGTCTATGAAAACACAGAACTAGGAAAAGTTCTGGTAGGCCGAACCTCTTAACACGCGATCGGGTAGGGGTCACTTTGACCATCTCTCCCTGAAGGTTTTTCCGGGGTGTTTTCCGAACGGTACGGCGTAGCCGCACCAAATTTCGTCTAGCTGTAGACAGTTGAAGAGTGGATCCTTTGGTATCAAAAATTAAGACGTACCTTGCAAGGTGGCTGACCAACGGCAGGCCTAAGTCAGGCCATGGATTCAGTGAGGCCGATCTCTAGGGAATCGTTTAATCTGATGCAACAATGGAAAGTTAGACGAGGTCACACATCTCTAAGATGCTTTTTTAGCCAGAATAATAATTGAATGAGCAAATTCCATTGACCTGGGGTCAAATATGAAGGTCACACGTAGGTCAAAAGCAACCCGTTTTACTACTCTAGGTCTTGGTGCATGGGTTAGCTTCTGGCGCTCATTTGGAATGTAATGGTTACATGAACCGCATTATATATCTTCCATGAATTTGTTAAAGGTCAGAAAAGGTCATTGACCTAAAATGTTCCAGGTCCACATTTTGTTTTAGAAACATGCTGCGTAACACCATTTTCTTTGCTTACTCAAATGCAAAATCTCGTATAATTTTGGTCATTACGGCCTTCGAAAGGTCAAACAAGGTCACTGACTTTAAGTAAGGATGTGAACTTTTACTCAAAACAGGTGTCTAAGTTCTGAGGTATTTTGAACAGCAACCTAAAGTTTGACATTGTTCGGCATTATCTAACCCGAAACTCAAAACCCAAGAACCTCAAACTTTGACCTAAGTGTGTTTACATACAGGCCAACACGCCCTGTGAATTTGGTGTCTCTAGCTCTCTTAATTTCGTAGATCTGAGAGAGGCCAAATTGATCCACATCCGAAGGGAGGGTATCCCTCCGGCCACCACGACGCGTGTTAAACAGTTCCTATATTGCAAAGCGATTTCTATCAACTCTAGTAACAACGGCTTACTTTGCCAATGGAACAGCGCACTCGGCCCTAGACTTCCGCGTTCGTGATGTAACAAGCAAACTGTTACGTAGTTATCTATTTGGGATTGTGAACCGGGTCACGTTGACAGTCGGCTCCGGAATTCTTGGAAGCCGCGAAGTGCCACTTCACCAGCCAGGTTGGTCGTTAACTGCCGCATGGCACGCCCAACTCGCCAATGTCGGTGCCGAATTTCCAAAGCAAAGGACTTTTCAAAAATGCTCGATGCTCATGGTAGGACATGTTTACTTGATTCCAATCAAATGCGTTCAGGGAAAATGAAGAAATATTGCCATTTCGTAATAATGTACAAGCCTTTGCCACATATCAACATGTATATCTTGCGAAAGCTCCCACCTTCAAGAGGAACATATTGCTCATCGTGAACAACATCTGAAGTATACTGACTTCAAATCATTACAGCCCTACAGCCATCCAGTCCTCGTTCGTTGTCTCCGACACCATGCCGAAGTACTTCTGACGGAACGGTAAGCTCTGTCAGAGGGTAAGAGCCGCCTTGACCAGCTGCTGCCGCCACTGGTCTCCGGCTCAGGCAGCCCCGGTAGAGCCGGCGACCGGGCGGCGCGGCGGGCGGCGCGGCGCTGTGGCGGAAACACGGTCCAGCTCACCTGGATGCCGGCCTGGTCGGCGGCCGAGCCCACGTCTACGCCCGTGACGTAGATGCCCAGGGCGTACTCAGCACCGCCGCGGATCATGACACCTAGGCTTTCGCCCATGTCCAGGGAAAAGTCCACCTGCGAACCGAACGAGGCTGTAGCGCCCGGTCTCCGGCCACACAGCAAAAAGGTGACAAGAAGCACGCGATTCGTCGTGCCGACAAGCGCTGTAACTCTGATAATCAGGAAACACACATGTAAAAGACGATACCACCCAATCTTGGCTCTTTTAGAAGGAGAGAAGTTGTGTTTTGGTGGGAATCGGTTGATAGCCGTTGTCCGATGTTCGATCGTACCTTAAATGTTATTTGCATAGTTTGGACACCGGTTGGTTTGAAGGAAGAGTGAAACGCATTGCGTAGGCAAGCGCAGTTATTTTGACGTCGATGAAATCAACCGAGAAATCTCTTTCGATCCGTGAGGGTCGAAATTTTGTTCATGGTTTCCAGTCGCTTTTCACGACAGGAACACACCTTCACGTTTCACGAACATGAGTCTAACCAATCGAGTTTATCCACCCAGGCAATGATATTTCCGTATCGATTTCATACTGAAGCGATCGTTCATCGCCCGTTTCCCATCGCTTTAAAGGAAAGATTTTCACACGACGCTGCCGGGAGCCGCTGATAAAAAACCTTCCCGTTTTTGGACACGAGCGGCAATGCCAGGGGCCCGGCGACCTTCGGGAAGCTGTTACCAGCGCCGGCCTCTTATCGCCGGCCCCGCTGATGGATCCCGGACCGGAACCCGGACCAGCCTCTGAATGGTGTGACCGGTAAGAGCGGCAGCGGGGGCCCAGCCGAGATGGGCTTTATTACAGACGCGCGGGATGCGGCATAACAAAGGTGGCTCCACCTAGTGGTTTCTTGGCCTTGTGTGGTGAGGGAGACACGCGCAGAAAGGATAAAGGAAGAAACGTCAGAGACGGAGTTACAATCGTGCATGTGGAGCGTACGTGCTGCCGCGCAGGTATACGCGGTTACACGAAAAGTTTGGAGTTTCGAATAAAAGAGAGAGGAGGAGGGGAGCGACAGATAGAAGACGCCAGATTGGATGCTGTAGACAAAGAGATAGACAGAGAGTTCCCTTACCTTGCGGTCGTGACCACCCTCTCTGCTGGTCTGCGATGCATCTGGAGGAGGTGTGACCTCCCGGCCCTGCGGATCACACCACGTGTAGGTGTGGCTCACCACATAGTTGTCGCCGTTGCCCACCGTCTTGATCATCATGTCCAGCACACTCGAGCTCGCGATCATCTGGTGGTACACAAAACGACAGGTTGGCGAAGGAAACATGCCTTTCGGTCACGATGGTCCGTCAGCTAATAATATCGAAAAATTGGAGCCCGAGGCGTTTCTTAATCCCATTAGTCCAGAAGAAGCTTGGTTCAGACGGCGACCGCAGTTAGTCTGTGGTTAATGGTGCGCATATATGCGCAGCGCTAGCCAATGACAAGGCAAACACTCGTATTTTGGCCTCAAATACTAAACCACAGCAATCAAGAGCGAAAGTTGCCGGAAGCTGCCAAGCTTTACGGCTTAACTTCGTAATTGAGGCCTCCCGAGGCATTTTACGATTTAACAAACGAAAATAGCCGAACCATTTCGAAACCAAGCGGACGGTTCAAGCAATAAAGAAAAGAGCCGTTGAGCCCGAATGACAGTTGATTACAGTTGCTTAGTTGTCGCATCAAACGTGCATGTCATCGAGCCATCTCAATGATTGGCGTTTAGCACCAACATTAAAGTGACGACTAAATTATATGCGAACATAATCATTTCGAAACTGCTTCGTTGGTCGTAGCGGTATATCAACTAGTTTGATATATGCTTAGCACTTGCACATAAAAATGTCTTTATTCACGCAAGGTAAAGAAAGCAAGTCTTGCCTCTAAGCACCCACGAAAGATTCCTCAACTTCTATTAAAAAGGCGCGTGGAACGAACGGTTTATCTCACGATAGACAGGTTCTTCACTCGACCACCCGGGAGTTAATCTTCTGGTATCAAACCCATCTTACCTGATAGCTGCATGACCCTATAGTCCTTTTCAACAAGCAGCCTGCCTTTGATGAGGGCTAACCAAACATAGCACATTTCTTTTATGATAGCCTAATGTCAAACTTTTCTCGAATCATAATGCATCACATACACAATGACAAAAGCATAGTGTGCAAACACCCCCACTACACGAAAGTACCAATTAGTATACATTCGAAACTTAGCAGATCAGCGTCTGGAAGTATTAGCGTGTCCTAGAAACTAGGCAATCATTTTCATACCCTCCTAAGCCCTATGATGAAGAGACACCTCATTCCTGCAAATTCGGTGACTCCTCCCCAGAAATGAAATCAAGACTCACACACCACGACGCCAAAAGCCGGCTCGGTAATCCCCGATCCCCAAGCAGGCCCAACCCACAACCTATCCCCGATAACCAAAGCCCGACCGGCCATGCAGCGGGCCGTGCACTCGACGTCATCTGGCCGGAAGCCATCGGCCAGCCGGCCCGCCAACCCGTCCGTCCGCGCGCCGCTAACGCAATCCGGTGGCTGCGGCGATCGCGGCTGGCCTGCGGCGATCCCCGCGCGTCTGTGATCGATGCTAATGGCCGGCCTGATTTAATAGCGCCGCCAGCCCCACCAACAAAGGAGGCTCTGGCAGCGGCGACGCCTCAATCGACGGGCACGACGACGGCCGACGGCCGGCCAGGCACGACACCCTCCCCCGACGAGGTCGGGAGTCCCTGCCGGTCGGCGCGGCGCCTCTGCTCCCTCTGAGGTGGGGGCCGCGCCGACCGGCAGCCGGACACTGCTCTCCGCGGAGGAAGGCCGCGAGAATGATCATCAGTGCTGGCGTGATCAGCGGACTGTCACCAGTCTACACGGACGCTTACCAATGAAAACTACATTGCTTGTATGTGGTGTGCGCACCTAGATGATGGATTTTCTTCCGCAATTTGCATGCTGCGCTTCATCCATCTCTTGATGCAATGCATACGTCTGGAGATAATGGAAGGCTAGATGGCATCACGGAAGAGCGTGCGTACTGCTCGGCCCAAACGATGCTGTGGCGAAATACTTCGGCAGCAGACAGTGCCTTTTCCCGCAAAGTTCTAACGTCGTGATGGTGCTTACATGTATGCACCGGTTCGGGAATGTCTCAAGTAGAGACCATCATTAATTCTGATATGATCTGTTTGCAAATAGAGCGAAGCGTTGAGTTTGTCTTGCATGTTTCATGGTCTGGTATTCTTTCGTATAGAGAATGGACCGCCGGCAGTCCCATGCCGTGGACTTAAAATAGCTGGCAGTGCGTTATGCCTCATTTCAGGTGGTTATGATGCTGTATGTTGAACATGTCACAACTCGGTCGGCGAACGGCGCTGGTGAAGAACGCCCACAAATGTTGTAGTAGTGCGACGGCAATGACGAACGTCCTCCAATGATGAAATGCGAAGATGGGACTTTCAATAAAGTTGATGCGAGCCCTGCTACCCCTGCCGAAACGCATCATCCGCCCATTCTCTTCCTGCATTGGCGCAGTAAGAGAAGCCCGGTTTGAGACGTAAACGCTGTTGCTGAGACTGTCTTGAGAGTGGGATGCGTGGGAGAGGATGATAAAAGATGACCAAATCAAAAGCACGCATCTGTTCGGATCAGTCATCCGGCCATCGCTTTCGTAATGTTGCATTGTCGACACGCTGTTGGATAAGTTCAACTTCACAGCGCTGCTATCCTGCTTCAGACACAGACGAGTAGGCCCAACTACATTAGTCTATTTTGTTTTCGCCAGCCCAGTGTTTTTGTCCATCAGATCCCACTCGCGTGCACATCACATTACACTCGCCGTCGATCACAGCAAGTTTTTATCAATCGTTTTCGCAGGTGTACAGGTGGCCGTCAACCAAGCCTGCAGCGCGGTGAACGAGACCAAGGTCGGGCGGCTGCCGAGCATCCTAACCTGCTTGACCTGCGGCAGCGATGACCGTCGGACGTCATAGCCGTTGACGATGACGAGCTCGTCTCCGACCCGGAGTCCTGCTGACCTGGCTAGACCCTCGACCTCGAGACGGCTGATGAACACGCCCAGACCTGCCCCGGCGTGCCACAGTTACCAGTGCGCCGCTGTCAACAGCGTCAACAAAGCTCACCAGAATATGTCACAAGTGCACAACAGACGAGCAATTCTAGCAGCAGAACACAGCGAGACATTAATCCTTCTACCATGACATACAAGGTCGTAACTTTGCGCTATTGCATCAGCACACTAAGTCCGTCCCATCATCAAGAACAATCAATCCCAGGCCGCCGCCATTACGCCTCTGAGTGGTTTCACATCTCGGTCCCATCTGCGAAGGCCCCCACCCGCTCCCGACCCGAGCCCCACTATCAGCTGCGGCCAGCCGCCGGGACGGATCGGCACCTGCGCAGCCGGCGCAGCGCCCCGGCCGTCCGGCAGCCGGCCGGCAGCTCGCCGTGCCTCCGGGCACGGGGGCGGGACAGCACCACAAAACGGCCCGTAATCGGAGCCCGACAGCCGGCCGGACTTGTAACCCACATCGATCGCGACGGCGCGCTCGAGCGGCGGCGACGGCCCCAGCTGCCGCAGGCGCGGCGGTGCTGGGCTGCCACGGGACCAGCCGCTCCAGGCGGCCAGTTGGGCCTGGCGCCGGACTTCGTGCGTCGCCGCCGACGCCCGAGGCCGGAACAGAGGACGTGGGTGGGGGACTGAACTATGTCGTTGCTGATAGTACAAGTGGCTGTTTGGGAAGACGGGACCGAACGCAGTGCCCAGTGGTACGCATGCTGACATGCATCACTAGGTGACACAGAGCTCCGTTCCATAATGTCAGAGCCGTGAAATGCCGAAGACCGTTTGCTATTGAAATTCCCCCAGGCTGAATCAGGAATCAAGCCTTTACTTCTAGGAAAACGTTCGGCGAAGTTCGTCTTCTTGTCCGGTTCGACTTTTGAAAGTTGACTTCGGTCGAGTGCCAATTGGGGCGTCGATTGGCACGTGACACGATTCCGCCGCCGAACCGCTGCTGCTGTTCGAACGAGGAACGCTGCCAGCATCAGCGAGGCTCGATTGGATACCAGAACAACACATTCGATGAAAGATTTGCGCTAACGGGCATAAATGTCATGCTCTAATTCGCGTACTCGTCACATAGCATAGATTGCGTGGGTTGGACCCGACTGATGCAACAGTTACGATTTTTCAAATCTCACTATGGTTTGGCTGTTTGCTGAACCATGGTGTGACATTGCTGCCATTCTCCGTCCCATTTATCGGGACAAAATGTTAACCCGGTCTGTCCGGTCTGAAGAGATTGCTTTTAACTCCCCATCTACTGAAGATGGACGTCATAATATGCGTTCACTTCATAAACTCCAGTAGTGCTATTTACGTGGACAATCAGGATAACTCGCTTTGTTTTATAGGATCACCTGCTTTGCTTGATAGGATCAGCTTGTTTCCTCTTATTGGCCGGGAGCCGGGACGCCCCGCGGCGGCCCATTCCGACGGCTCGGCGGGCCATGACCGTAGCTCATGGCCGGATTGCCGGCCGGGGGCCCGGTCGCCGGCGGCTCCGGCCCCGCATTGCCACGTCCCCGGGGGCCAGTTCGGCGCGTATTTCACGGCCCGGTCGGCCGCCGGCCGGCGCCGCTGGCGTCAGACGTCCGAACGCAGCTCTGCACACCGTCTGTCGCTGGCCGTCGCTCGTTGGTCACTCGGTCCGAGCCGGTGTGACGGCGACCAGCCCTGGCCGACAGGTTTACCGCCGTTGTCGCGACCGCCGGCCGCCGGTGCGCGCGAGGCGCAACTGAATGCGACGCGGTACGCCCCCGGCGGCGCGGCGCGACGCCCCAGACTGAGCTCGCAGTTGTGTTCAAAGAAAAACTGCAAAAGCTCGTTGTAGTTTGATGAAATATGTGCCGTACTGCTTCATGTCCTATAACACGGACAGGCAGGAGACACGCTTTCAGGAATGACGTTTAAAAGCGCTTGCAGTGCGCAGTACCCATGTGCCTGTGAGTTCATATTTACATGTCTGGAGACCACCGCGACGCGTCGTGTTAGAAGTTGCCGGCAACACACGTGTTAAAAGTTGGTGGCAGCACAGTGAAACTGAAGTTGCTGATGTTAAGAACCAAGCATAAGCCATGCGTTGCATCACATGGTAGGAAGTTAGGAAGCAGGCTGACAATATGCTGAGAGGAAAATATCACGAATTACAAAACAAATGTTGAAAGACACAACGCCATTTAATGGTAAAGGATAAAGACAGGCACTCCATTGGTGCTGTTAAATCTACCTCCATGCTAAACGTGTTAATACACATATGCTGCTTTGCAAAAAATGTTTATCCATACGTATGATTATGACTAAAGAACACATACGCCCGCACGCACTCATCCACGCACGCACGTGCGCACTCACACACACACACACACACACACACACACACACACACACACACACACACACACACACACACACACACACACACACACACACACACACACACACACACACACACACACACACACACACACACACACACACACACACACACAAACATATATATATATATATATATATATATATATATATATATCAATTGTATCATTCAGGTGTTTTCCTGCGCACGAGCTGAAATTGTTTTGCAAAGCGGCAGAGACGGAACCACTTTTAGCGTGGGAGACTTCCCAACTTCCCACCATGAAACCTTACGTATGGCTTATGTCATGTTCCTAATGTCAGGAAACGCAGATGCGCCACTTTGTCATAAACACCTTTTAACCCTCTGTTTGTTCATGGTAGTCCTTGTAGTTGCGCGCATGCACTCACAGACACATACGTGGGAACAGCATACTTTAAACGCTTTCAGACATCAACAAATTTGCAGCATTGTGACACGAATTAAAATCTACAATTGCAGCCGGTTTTTGGTTTCGTAAAAAAATACAAGTGGGAGGTGTACGCAGTATATATATATATATATATATATATATATTTCTATTTATATACGTATATATACTAGAAGTTGTGCAACTATATATGTATAGCATGTATTGATGCAACGAAGTTCAATATTCCTTGAGTAGAGGGCACATTTTCCTATAGTTATGGGGCATGGCATGGTAAGACACGTAGCCACAAACATTTCAATGACACCTTACGCTGAAGATCTGGTAACTCAAGAGTTGCACAGGAATTTGACTGTCCTAGACAGTTTGTTTATGACGGGCCTGGCTGCGGCAGCAACAGTGCATTACCTCAGTGTGGCCGCGGCAGCCTTCCCAACACACGCCGCACACATGATACGCATGATACACATGCTCAGGAAACTCCTAATCAAACAGTTACATTTTTGTACAACTATCGAGTTCCTAGCTGTTCGGCGTACGGTGCTGTTGAAGTGATTGTGGATACGTGTTTTTGCAGCGTCTTCATTGCTGACAGAGTTCGTATGCATTCACGAAGTTAAGATATTAAATGCATTTGCGAGAAGCATAATGGACATAGTTAAGACAGTAGTAATAGCCTTATTCCTCGGAGAGAAAAAACAGGAGAATGAAGATATAGGCACGCTGATATTTCTCCAAGACGTTTACATCATCTATGCAAGATGTTAAGGTTATTGAAGCGAGTAGGAGAAGTGGATTCAAAATTGCCTGCCGATGATCTCCCCATGCATGTTCGAATAAAGCGTGGTGCTTGATGCCTGTTTAATTGAATTAGTTTGCATGTATACGTTTTTTTCTCGTGTTCTAACTCTTAGTTATATATGCACTGCATCGTAGTCACGGACAGTACCTCCTTGTTTAATCCCCTGAGTGCTGGTGTCCTGTAAAAGCCGTGGCTCGCTGTTTAAGCAAAGCTGAAAGATCGAGTAGGATCATCGGCAGGCAACTTTGAGTTTACTTCTGTTATTCGTTTCGATAAAGGCACGGTGCCGAAATATGAACGCATCTGTGTCTCACTTCTCCTGGTTTTTCTCCGATGAATAAGGCTTTTACTACTGTCTTATCGATGTACATTCAATAACCATAGCTCATAATCATAATAGCGTTTGCTCTCTGTTGCTCAACTAATATCGCCTTCGCCAAGCTTTCTCAGTACTAAAAGATATACTATTATATGATAGATATAAAGAAACACACGCCCAAACACACACACACACACACACACACACACACACACACATATATATATATATATATATATATATATATATATATGTATATATATATATATAATATGTAACTATGTTCTATTCATAGCCAGACTCCCTCAGCCAAGGTTCCATTTCAGATGCAACGGCTCGACTGCCGTTACCCAGGAAAACCTCCGGCAGCTTTAAATAGCCACCGCTGCCAGATATGGCAGATTGCACCGCAGACCCTGCGCCACTGGAAGAGCTCATACAAGTTCAGTTCGGATTAAGTTTGGTCCAGACCCCGACTGGACAGTTCCACCAGAAGACATTCGACTTGGCACCACTTTGTAATTGCCGGCGCGCCAGCCAGACGGCCGCGTCAGGCCCGGCGGCGGAGACCCCGGTGCGGCCGCGCCTGGTCCCGCCCGATCGGCTCGCACCACGCCGAGCCCGCGACCTGACAGCACCCGCGGCGATAGCGTGTCTCGTCACATGCGGCCGACACGGCGGCATCCCGTGTAATGGATTGTGAACGATCACACGGGCAGCGTCAGTGGTTCGCTGATTGGCTGCTAAATGTAAGCCGGCGGCCAATTACGAGATTGGAAACCAGAGGCTGCTTTTGGAATGTCGCACCTCGTAAGTGGGGTGGTGCTAGAGTGGAAATACGATCGCTGTTGATAGTGCAGATTGTAATTACGTACCAGATATCCTGCGCAAAAGATGCAAAGGATGAAACAGGTGTTGGGGCATACACCAAAGCTGAGCGCTGTAAAGTAGCCGCAGTCATTACATCGACGGTGTAAACGTTGCACTAGATCATCTGCTCTAACTAAACTCACTTACCCGCTGCAATAACGCCAAGGCCCGACCGACCCGACCGGAAAAGACCGGACCGACGCAGCCGGGCCGGCGGACCGGACCGGAGCGGCACCCACCTGACTCGGCGCCGCCGATGACTGAAAGGCCGAACTCGGGGTCGCGTCGGCTCCGACGCAGCGTCACGCGCCGGTAGCCGGCCACGCCCGTGCGACCGTAGCGGACGCGCCGCAGCCGGCGCTCCGAGTGGCGCAGCTCCTTGCGTCGGCGACGCTCGCTCTTGCTGCGCCGGCCGCGCTCGGGCGGCTGGCGCGGCCGCGCGCGCGGCAGCGTGCTGCTGCGGCCGCAGCACGGCTCGCCGTCCCAGCCAAGCTCGCCGTGGCCGGCCGGCGGCGGCGGCGGCGGCCGGTGGCCGGCTGACGCGATCGGCAGGTGGTGGATGAGGCGCGGCACGGCCGCCGGCCGCAGCGGCTCGGGTCGGATCGGCCGGAACGCGCTGCGCAGCGGCTCGGCGCCGCCGCCACGCCGGTCGGTCAGCAGGTTGATGGAGCGCGCCGATGCCGTCGCGTCACCAGCCCCTTCGCGCCCACTGGCGTCCGTGTCGCTCACGTCGACGGCGTCCACGCCTCGCGCCAGCGCGTCGAAGTCGCGCGCGGATACGTAGCTTGGGTAATGCATGGCGGAGGGGTCCGGCGCCACGTCGTGGCCGCCCGCAGCCGCCAGTTTGCTGGCGATGCTTTCGAATGGCGGCGGCGCGGCGGCGGCGGCGCCGTGCTCCCATTGGTGCCAGCGGGGGTCGTCATCAACTCCGGGGTCGCGCGGCGCCGGTCGTGCCCCGCCGCCGGCCCTGCCAGGTAGCGTGGAATCTATCACCTGTTTGATGACCATCTCCTGATATGAGTGGACGGTGGCCGGAGTACTCCTGCCAGGAATGGCCAGCTCATTCGTCGACTCGACAATGCGTTGATGCACGGCGCTGATCCTGCCGCCGGCTGCCAGGTGTGCGTCGGCCAGCAGGCTGTGGGCTCGCGCGCGCTGCAGGCTGCGCAGCCGCCGGTTCAGCTCAGCGCTCACGCTGATGGAGGGCGGGCCGCGCGGCGTGGGCTCCGGTTTCGCCGGCGATCGATCGGCGCCCGGGCCGCGCTCGGCCGAGTAACCCACCAGGCCCAGCGCCCGGCCGCGCGGCGCCCATTCGGCGGCCGGCTGTCCCGGCCGGCCCGGTGAAGCGGCTGGCGGCCGCGGCGGCGCAGGCTCGGCCGCGCCGTGCGCCACGTCCTCCGCGTCCGTGCGCGAGTCGCGCATGGGGCGGTGCGGCGCCGCGTGCGACCGGCCGTCGCCGCGCCGGATGTCGCCGTCCGCCTCCAGCACGCTCAACACGTCGTCGATGTCGGTCCAGCGGCGGCTGCTCGGCCGGAAGTCGGTCGGCCCGTTCTGCTCCATGTAGGCGAGCGCACGGTCCAGGTCGCCAATCTGGCCCCAGGCCGGGTGCTGGACGATGCTGGCGGGCCGCGGCCGCGGCGGCGCGCGCTCCTCGCCGCCGACGCGCGTCAGGTCCGGCAGCTCGCCGGCCGGCTCGTACACCGGCCCGGCCAAGAACGAGTGGCTCGGCGTTGACAGCAGGCTGAACGGACTGTAGCTTCCGTCGCGCGAGGAGCGCAGCAGGCTGTCGCGCGACCCGGGTGTCAGCCGGTCCAGCGTGCTGAAGCCGTCGGCGTCCGCCTCGCCGATCTCGGTCTCTGGCAGCGCGTCCCAGCCGGGCACCGGCGGCGGCGTGTCCGACCGCCCGCCGAGCCGGCCGCCCGGACTGGCCGAGTGCCGTGCCTCATCGTCTGACGACGCCGCCGAGCGCGACCACGTGCCCTCAGTGTGCTCACGCTCAGGCTCACTGGTCACTGGGCCGTCCGGCGAGCGGTCCCACCGCCCGTCGTCGCCGTGGTCGCTGGCGGCGTCCGCCGACGCCTCGGTACCCGCCCACTCGCCGGCGCCGGCCGCCTCCTCCAGCTGGCGCAGCTTCTGGTACTTGAGCTTGAGCGCCTCCTCATCGCGCAGGATCTGGCGCAGCGTGTCCTCGATGTCGCCGTTTTCCTCCTGCAAGCGCTTCGAGGCCGCCTGGCTGGGAGGCGGCGGCGAGCCGGCTGCGGCGGCGCCGTCCGACCCGGCGCCGGCCGGCTCCTCCGCCGGCTGGCTCGAGCCGGGCGCAGCGCTGCCGAAGAACTTGTCGCTCGACTGGCTGGAGCGAGCCGACGAGGCCGAGTCGAGCGAGCGGCGCCGGTCGTACTCGTCAATGAGCGCGATGCGCGGAATGGCCGTCTGCACCGTGTCCTCGGAGGTAGAGGTGGACGAGTCGAGCTTCACCGCTTCGGCCGGCTCGGCAGCGCCGCTCTCCGGGTCCGCCGGGGCCGCCGCTGACGCCATCGCGACGCCGACGCCTGGGCGCGCCGGCCACGGCGAGCGCGCCGAATCGAAGCCGGTCGATCGAGGGGCACCACTCTCATAGGCGAGGAGACTGCCTGTGAACGAAAACAAGCCGTCCGTTTTCGAGATCGGTGGAGTGGCAGGTGGCGTTAGTGGTAATCGCGCTCACCTGGCACCATCAGGTGATTGGCAGCGGCGGATGTACGGCACGCCGGTGCCGAGGGGCGAACGTCGCCGGCGACAAATGGTCGGGACGGAAAATGGCGTGCCTAGCTCGCTCGGTACCGGGGACCCATTGGAAGGCTCAATTTTCATCCCGATGAATAATTTACGAGCGGTGACGGGGCGATAGATGTGGGCGGTACTCTCCCTCAGCGTCAGCGTGTCTCCCCCGATGACCTGGGCTTTCCCTCTACGCAAGCGCGTCTCCCCCGATGATCTGGGCTTTTCCTCTGCGTCGGCGCGTCTCCCCCGATGATCTGGGCTGAGTGCCTAGACACGAGTTAGCCAATGATGCTGTTGGGATGCGAAGACGTGCTCTGAAAGTCCACGTGCACAAACAAATGCTTGTATGGCCTTGTGTTGGTGGGTTTGGGTTTTTCAGAGCGGACTGCGCGCACTATGAACAGGCCCTAACCAGACGAATATTTCACATTCCCTCAGCGTCTCTTGAACCGTAAGACTATATCACAGAAATTGACGGCGCCTTTTCCATGTGAACGCCCCGACGCGAAGCGCTTCCATGCCTCAGAGGCCGGATGCACTGAGGATCGTTCACTTGCCAGACACGGCTCCCAAGCCACGCGATCAAACAGCCCGGACGTGACCTTAATAGAACGGCCGGGCCGCAATCGGCGCAGAATCTGAGACATGCTGTGTCTCACTGTCAGACGAGACCCAGACAGATTGCAGTCTCTCCTACCGGGCGGGAATACAAAGCGGGCCTGTTGATATAGCGCCGGCTGCCAATTACCAGTTTTGGCGCGCCTGTTCCTGGTTTCTAGGCCAAAAATGAAAAGCGTAGGATAGGTGATCTCAACACCTACACTATTATCCGATAGTTGTCCAAAAATTGCTCAGCACCATCCTTTTTTAAATGTTAAACCCTCATTTCGATATTGCACACATACAGCACAATAATATATCATTTGTGTATGCCGTACCTACCGAGGAATTCACTTAATTCTTCCTAAACATTTCATCAGTCTTCTTGCTGTGGACATTCCAACCAGTGAGAAGCAATGATCTTGACGCCCTTCAGTGGCCAAAACGAAACTTCATCACGATGCCATTTTTTGAACTTATTCTTTTTAGCCCTGAATTACTTACGTATATGATATATACATATACTAATTGCTCATTATTCATTTACATGTTTAATGTTACGAACCAAAGAAGCTCTCCTATAACGGATCCTTGAAATGGGGCCACAAGAGATGCTCGGGGCTAAGTCGTACCGTTGGCATCACATTGCGAGGCGTGAGGGGCACGATGATCGATTACAGTCAGCTGATAAATCATTGGCAACGACGGAGACGTCTGGCTCTGGGAGCAACAGCAATATCTGCATGAGTTATTAGGATTCCTGTGCGATGCAAGGTATCACAACGTGATATTGAAGAAATATTAGTGTGTATCTATCTAGTGAGGCAAATATGTGATATGCAACGAAGCATATGACACGATATCATGTGAGGAGTGAGACTGATTCTGTTTGGCGGCGTAGTTGAAGAAGCCGGTCGGCAAGTTAGTCTTCTCTGATAAAACGTCGCCGTGCTCGATGCCCGCTTCAACATACAGGCATTGAACTTTTTACCAGCTCACTTTCTCGCAATGCATCGCTTCCCCCAGCAAAATAGCTAAACCACGAACCCTACACCAACGTTTGTTTACACGCAGCAGGTCTGCCGTGACCAGCACAGCGTGACCAGGTCGCGATGCCGCCAGCCGCCGGGCACAGCCGCAGCTCCCCGTACGCAGGCTTGGTATCTCGGCCGGCGGTCCGCCCGGCCAGGCTCGCCGTCCTATCCTGATCTCCATGATCGCCTCCGGGCATCTGACCCGGCGGCCTCTGTCGCAGAATTGCCGACGTGTCCCCGCTGGCGGTCGGCTGCCAACCGGGCGGGCCATTCTCCCGTCATAAATATGTATGCACGACGTCCCGCGTCATGTCCGCGCTCGACCCGGGATTGGCGGTCCCGCACGGCGACCGGGCCGTCCGCGGCGGGCGCGCCGCCTGAGCGCCTGCCGGCCCAGCCCCCGTCCGTCGGGAACGCCGCGGCCCCGCACCGAATACTATCGGCCCGGCACGCAGATGACGTCGGACGACATTGTTGTGCGGAGATTGGGCTGCATTGGTTTTGGCATATTATGATACAGGAAACAATATCGCGAACGCGATCGAACGCGAAACATATTTGCGCGCACCTACGACACGTTAGCCTTGTTTTACAGCAACAACGCTTACCCTTCATTGCAAGATCATGCGTACGCCCACGACTGTATACAGTTTTAACCTCTGCATCCCGATCGTTGAGATTTCCAGACGTTGACATCTCCCAAACTATATAAAAATTGCAGTCGCTTGGAGCTTTCAACAACAAGAAACGCGTTTCTTTAAAAATAGTGTCGCTCTGATTTTAAGTATTTACTGATAAGCTGTCTGACTGTGCCTGATCTTTTCGGAGCATTGCAATTCGAGCATTCTTTAAGTTGCACTTTTTTATTACATACGTTATACACACACACACACACACACACACACACACACACACACACACACACCTATATATATATATATATATATATATATATATATATATATATATATATATATATTCGTCTACAGCCTTTATGCTCAGCCGATATAATGTGAAAAAGGGCTGTAAGCAGTTAACTGTGGTTAATAAAGAAGGCTTATATATAAAAACAAACAAACAAACCAAACCATTAGCAAAACAACCAAACGACGGCATGACAGCCCATGTGCAAACGCCGTGGCGTAATCGTTTAAATGCTGGGTTTTCATTTCATAGTTGCCAGTTTTAGTTCCCAATATCCTCGCACCTTATGAAATTTTTAGAGATGGGTATCTTTAAGATGTTTCGTAGAAAGCAAAACATTTCTGAAGTTGATTAACTTTTTGCACTATTTTCTACCTACCGTGCACAGTTCCTTTATTCTGAGTTCAGCGAGTAAGTTGCGCAAATTATAAGAAGTGCCGCGTACGTCGGAGTCAATAGCATATATGAGCAAATAAGTCGCATCAGCCTCAATAATTTGATCTTGGCGCAACTTCGCAATACCAAAAAACGCTGAATTTCAAGTGGACCTTAAGAATAATAAATAATATACTATTGTTTTGCCTACTAACGATATTTGTAACAAAGAAAACATGTTGAAACTGCTTGCTCTGGTGTTTGCTAAAACATAATCATACCTTGGCTTTCATAAATGGCGCGTTCAATCTTTGTCTTTCAAATCAATTTGCTATCAACAGGTCATGCAATGCAACTGCGCCGGAACATTCCGTAGCTCCTTTTTAATCCCCTAATTTCGGCAGGCTTCCCTCTCATCTTCTGCTCATCAGGCCGGAAATACCATTACGTTGCAAAATGTATCGTTATGTTGATGGAATTGCTAAAACCAAGCTTCCCTTGAAGCACATGTAAGTAACCACCTTACCAACAACTACAGGCTGCAAAGCCCTTAGTCCGCTGTTTAACCATAGGCTGCCACACCGTCGCTTGGTTTTCTGGTTTATCATCTGTTGTTTAGATTTAAGTATTTTGCATGAACCCATATTTGATCAGGTTTGGTTACTAGAACTTAAGGTTTAAAACTTGTACAGGTGCAGTAGTTTATTTTCTTTTCCTAATACCTGACTACAGCCAGCGCTCTTGTGGACTTAACTTCCAGTGCTATCTGTCCACGGGAATGTGGGAGAGCTTTGTTACGTGTTTTGGTTGGATGTGGCCACGTCAATCCACGGCCTAATCATAATCACAGCGTGATGATCGCACCTGATCGGAATGCCGTCTATATAGACTTGGCCGTCAACGGCTTCTGGAACGAAACGAAAAAACACCCACACCGCAGTTTGCTCGGACAATTTCGATTTCAGCTCCGATGTTTAATTTTGTGTGAGCTTGGCTTCGAGAAGTTTTTGCGCTGGTCATTGACAATAAAAGGCTTAACTGCATCTTACTAGAACACATCTAAACTGACTGTAGGCAAGGAATTGTTATACACTGTGCCAAGAAACACTACGAAACGGTTGTGCCAAGCAAACCTTTAATCTCAATGACACCCAAGGAAATGGCTATCGTTACAAAGTTGTCTGGCCGCTCCAAGATTATTTCTTCTCTCTGAGTACACCGCTCACATTCACGGACACAGGCCAGCACGACGTGTCTATTTTCTTCTCCCTCAAGGCAGCTCGTTTTTCGTGATGAGATGCCTTCTCTGCAGACGTTCAGATAACGCAGAACATTTTCCCTGAATGACGGGCGTCTAGCAACCACCGCACGCACTTTCGCAAAAATGGCGGCGTGAAGTGGCGAGTGGGGATCCGCGCGGTTTTACAGCCGTCTCTGACGGGCCGGCTACGAAAAGGCACGTCAGAAAC